TAACTTGTGTGATTTGATACTTTAGTGATTTAGATAAGAGTCAGGCCAGTTACTGAAGAGGATCTCTTTTCTGCATTTAAGCAGCACAATAAATTCAAGGAAACTGAAATTTCCAGCAATTACAGAGCAGGCATGTACTCTTTGTCCCTTCATTCCTCCTGGCACAAACCTATCCTCTCTGGGTGATAAGGGAATGTGTAAGAATGACTAGCCTTAGTCTAAATTAAATATGAAGACATACAAGAAAACATTTAAACATTTCTTTTAAAAAATCATTGAGTGTTTTCCTTTGACTCATCAGGGGTTATCTAGCCTCTAGTAAGGTGAGAGTGGAGTGAGAGAAGAACAAAACACAGAAGGAAGAGGCAAGGGTGAGTCCCCTCATCTTCCCTTCCTTTGTACCTTACTTCCTCCTGGGCTGTCATCCCTTACATTCAAAATGCAGACTGCAGACGTCAGCGCATGCAGGTAGAACAGGTAGCCACTTCCACACCCCAGTCACTGTGACATGGAAAATTCTGCAGCCTTAAGTCTGGCTCAACCCATCACCATTCACACAGGTTAATTCTTTCTCTACTGCTGAGTCAACAAAACAGACGAGTGAAGGCAGATTAATAAGAACAAAGTTTTATACACATATGTGTATATGTACACAATGTGGGAAGGAGAAAAGCCCATCGAGGCGAACAGGTTGGGGAAACCACTACAGACAGCAGGGGTGTCCTGCCGGTTCCAAGACTGGAGAAAACTGGCCAGGAGCTTGGGTCAGCCGGGTTCACGGTCACACCAGGGATGGCACAGTTGATGATTGATGCAGCTGTCTTCTATTTTCCACCATTGGAACTTCTTGAAACTGGTATTATTCTGGAGTGGTTCTAAACTGGGCCTCATGTGCCTCTCGCCCCCCAAAACACAGACATGCACGGAAATAACAAAAAATACACATGTGTATGCAATGTACACACTTGCTGTATGAAGAGATCAGGTTAAGTTTCACTTAAAGGGGTTGGGCCCCTTTCTGGTGCAACAAAGTCCATTTCCAGTTATATACAATTTGCAGAGGAATATTTGGTCCTTATTTGTTGAGATTCATGACAAGGGAAAGGAATTTTTTGGTGGCTCTGATAAAGCCCCAGGCAGGTTATGAAGGTGTCTAGTCATGCCCAGAGCACAGGCACAGGTGACCAGGATAAACACAGTGCTTGCTCCTCCTGAGAAGTACCTGACTAAGGCAAGCACCAAAAGCACCAAGTTCTGTTTAAAATTTCATGGTGCTATCCCTCATCACACAACCAGCACTGTGCTTGGTGGGGAGAGGGGGGCACATGTGCTGTGTGGGGATGAGAGACTGTAAATGTATCCAGTCACAGCAGGCGTGGGGTTCTTCCCCGGAGCACCACCTGTGTTAGGGGTAAGTGAGCTCCCAGTGTTCTTAGGGGGGGTGTTGACAGAGAGGCCTGCCATCATAGATGTGATAGTGTCTACATCTGCGACAGTTCTTGCTGGATCTGCCTTGGGTCCCCCACAATTATTCTTCTGTGAAGCAAGAGTACCAGGTCCTACCATCGTGAAAATGATCTTGTCCCATCCATGCTTACTGTCTGTCTGCTGGGCAGGTGGACCGCTGTTACTGGGAAGGAACGTGAAACTACAAGTGGATCCAAGCACAGAGTTAGTGCTGCCACTTGCAGCTGCGACAGAGGCATTGTATCCTGGCAAGCTGCAGGGGTTCTGTGGGGAGTGAACACACAAGTCTCTTCACATGCGTGTCTTCTCCAAGATAGTGTCTCTTCCACATGGAACAATTTGTTTTTGAGTAGATGCGTCCCTGGAGCGCTTACGGGTACCAGGAACAGCTGAGTCTCCTTCTCTGGAATCAGCCTGGCTGTCTCCCACTACTCCACCACCTGCATTGTTGACGGTTGGCTCCCTGCTGCTTGGATTTGAAGAGGAGATTGCCATGTCTCCTGACACACCTTTTTTTTTTTTTCCAGAGTAGTGGCTCTTTCATGTGCCTCAAGTTTACCTTGTGTAGAAGGGCTGCAGGTACGTTTATGAGTATGAGGAACAGCTGAGTCTCTCTTCCTGGGAACAACATGGTCGTCTCCCACTACTCCACCACCTGAGTTGTTGACAGTTGGCCCCCTACTGCTTGGATTTGAGGAGAAGACTGCCATGTCTCCTTACACACCTCTCTTGTCCAGAGTGGTGGCTCATTCACATGGGTCGTTTACTTTGTGTAGATGGGTCCCAGGCAGGTTTATGGGTATCAGGAATAACCGAGTCTCCATCTTTGGGAACAGCATAGCCCTCTCCCACTACTCCACAACCTGGGTTTTTGACGGTTGGCCCCTTGCTGCTCAGATTAAAGGGGGATGGCAACACTTTCACATGGGGGAACTCACAGGTTTTCTCTGCCTGGATGGGCCCCCAGTACACTTACAGGTCATGGAGACTATAGAGTCTCCACCTGTGGGCATGCTGCAGACCCGGTCCACTGCTCCACTAACTGGATATATGGGTGGGGCCCCAGTGCCTGGATTTAAGCTGGAACCAGCATTGTTTCCAAATGCTACCTGGGCCACAACAGTAATGCTTACCTGGTGGTGTCTTCTCAGAACCAGGAAGCACTATGTAAAGTGGCACATGGTTGTGCCTGGACACAGGGGAGGAATAGATGATGGAAGCCTGAGATGGAGATATAGTGTCCATGGCTTCACTGTCAGAAGCTGAGTTCAGTTTGCAGGGGGTTTCCCTACTGGAGTGGAGGTGACACCAGAACCCCCAAGGGGCAAGCTAGTGGAAACTGCAACACGTGGAGGTAAAGATGGAGGAACAGATGGGAGTGGGAGCCTGGCAGATTGGTCAGCCAAGTCAGTTGTAGCAATAGGGACTTGCACAGCGTTAATGCTGGACCGGAGACAGTTAGCAGTCTCTGTTGCAAGTATAGAGAATGCAGGGGCAGGCAGAGGGTCCGAGTAGTCTGCTTTGATGTCTCTTCTATCCCCCAAGATCGTATTCCTCTGACATTTAATATACTTCAAGGTGTCCAGGTTTTGGTCAATAGCTATGCAAGGAAGCTTAGGAGGTGGGAGCAACTCACCACGCCCCCACAACTGTGGCTGTGGTGGTGGCAGCTGCAGAGAAGATGGCATGGATCTTTTCTGTTTGCAGGGCCATTTCCGGTTCCATTTGCTGTTAGATACAGGGTGGGGAAAGAGCTCCTTGGTGAGATGCCTGAAGGCTATTTAACCTGTTTCTCTTTCCTGCAAACAGGCTGATGCTTTTCACCAGAAACTTCCTTTTTTGATGTCATGCCTGAAGGCTCACCACCCTGTATCTCCTTCCTGGATATGTCTGATGTGCTCTCAGAAGACTGATGGTTTTCACCTGACTCTTTCTTGATGTCTCCTGCAGTAAGGGGCAGCATGAGTCTGGGTCTGAGAGCACAGCTGCCTCTGTATGAGGCACAACTCTCTGGCAGGATCATGTGAAGAGGTGACTACATGGCCTTCAGGGGTGGAGTTAATTAGAGCCTTTTGGGTGTCCTTCCTCAAACTGTCTACTGGAGGATTAGGATGGAGGTCCTGGCTGCACTGCCAGGAGCTGACAAGTTCACTGGCCTCCAGGGGACTAGATGTTAACTGTATATCCCCATAGCTATGGGGGACCCTGTTCCCACCATCCAGCCCTTGATCTCGACAGGATCCTCCATCTTTTTTCTGGGATCCTTTTGGGCCTTCTCCTCCAACCCATTTGGGCACAAAAATGGATGGAACTGGCTCTGTAGCCCCCTGGACAGTCTCAGAGAAAGAACGCTGGAGAGTTAATTTGTGCCCAGGAGGTGGGATTCTTATGGCTCTGGAGTTCCCAAACATTATTGGATTAGGAGAAGACAGCACAGGATTTTTTTTGGAGGGTTACTCCAGTTCACCAAGGGGAGGATGCCCAGAGAGATACATGCAACCTGCGGGATGGGGTACTGCCTCCTCGGCTCCACATGAAAGCTAGCTGGTAAAGTCCTACGATCCCAGTGGAAGAACCTGCACCCAGGGTCCAGGGCAGGTGAAGGAGCAGCGGGGTGGCCCCTGCCAGGTGGTGGATGCGGATCACAGGCGGGGCGGACCAGGGGCCAATCCTGGCCAGGCCGGGACCACGGCGGCAGAGTGGGAAACGTAGACACTTACTAAGGAGATTGCCCATATTGAGCTGGTTGTGTGCCAAACGATGCGAAGTTGGAGTCTAAAAGCTGGAAAGCCCCTCCAGAGCTTCTGACTCCTTTCAATGTCGAACAGGCACTGAGCCTGAATGGCCCAGCTTGGCACCAGTGATGCATCCCTGGAACAAATCACAAAGAAGGGCACGCACGCACAGCGTGGCAAGAGACCACAATACAGGGAAAAGGGGAGGCTCCAGAGTCCTGCCCGTTAGGCTCTAGTGCCTGGGACTTCCGGTTGATGGTGGCTGTGTATAAACTGCCTGCTGCCCTTGGCAGGTGTGCTAGTTGGCATGTGTGGACAACCAGCAAGGCCACTGCTTGGGGACTGTAGAGAGTGGAATGATTGTTGGGCCCCTCAGCGCCTCGGTGTGTGTCATCAGCCCTTCCCCCAAGAAAGAGGAGCGCTGGGGAAGGGGCGCTCCCAACGCTGTGAGGGAGTGGCCCACCGCCCCGAGTTCCAGCCAGCTGCATCTTCGCTAAGGCTGCCCAGGCTTTCAACATCACCCTCCAGACAGCGGCAGTTTCCAAGCAGTCGCCAAACCCTGACCTGACTGGATGCTGCGCCCCAAGACCTCCCTTCCTGGCAGGAAGGTTCTTGCTTTCTTCCTTTCGACGAATTTGGTAAAACAACATTTACAATCTAGACCGCCCCTCAGGTCACACAGATGGTGGTGGCTTAGCTGGGATTCAAGCCCAGTGTAGTGACTCCCAGAGCACTTACTCTGGACTGTGGTGCCTCCTTACCATATCATCTTTTCTTTTTCTTCTTCCTAGTTCTTAGGGTACTTAGCACAGTGCCATAGTTACAGTGAACACAGGCACTGCCCAGGACAGGCCTTTGTTGAACAAAAGCTCAATTCATAAATTAATCAGAGACCATAATGGATTCTGGTCTCAGAAGATGTAGGTCATGGACTGCCAGTGGTAAGTACAGTACCATTCCACATTTGTAACTGAGCCTTGCAGCCCAGATTTTCTCTTTGGTCTACTCTGAAGAATCTAAATACGTAAGATTATATGTAAAGACTATATATAAATATATAAAGATTATATTCTAGATACGTTGTGGTCTACCTGGAAGCAATTCACCTGTGGGTTATTCCATATGGATTAGAAACCAGTTTCTCTGGCCTTCTAGGAATATGTCTAGTAAGGCATCTCACTAATATCTAGAAAGCAAATATGTCATATTGTAAGTTAAGAGTGGAGTAATGTACTGGATTAAAGAAAGGTCAACACAATTTGACCGTTGTGAGCATGCCAGCCGGGTTCATTCCTTACCTCACATTATTGGCACTTAAACAGAATTCTAGAGATTCTTATGACCAAAAGGGGAGAGATATGCTTAGGTGTATGGTAAGAGAAACATGTATTATTTTTTAGGAGCTGGAAGCTTCAGTTTGAGGAAAAAGGTTTGAAAACTCTTGGCCTACATGTGGCTTTACCTAGTTTGAATCTCGTTTCTGTGGCTTACTTCATTGAAATGTTTTCTGTCTCATTGGACTGATGTTGAATATCCAGGACATGATATGCAAAAGTTTCAGAACCAAGAATAGATCAGTAAAAAATATATGTTAAAATTTTTATATATTTAAAAAATTTTATATATAATATATATTATATTATACATCTATACACACAGAGTAAAATCTTGGATTGTGAGTAACTTGTTCTGTTCTGCAAGTGTTCCATAAGATGATAAATTTTAGGGGCGCCTGGGTGGCTTAGTCGGTTAAGCGTCCGACTTTCGCTTAGGTCATGATCTCGCGGTTCGTGGGTTCGAGCCCCGCGTCGGGCTCTGTGCTGACTGCCAGCTCGGAGCCTGGGGCCTATTTCAGAGTCTGTATCTCCCTCTCTCTCTGACCCTCCCCTGCTCACGCTGTGTGTCTCTCTCTTTTCTAGAAATAAAATAAAAAAATATTAAAAAAAAAGATGATAAATTTTAACTTGACAAGTGAGTGATGTCTTGCAATACAAGGAGTACATGATGCCAAACGTCACATGACAATTGAGCCAATGGTTCTCACTCTCTCTGTGTCTGTGAGTCTCTCTCTCTACTTCTCTGTGAAGTTGTGGGTGATTGTCTCCCATGCCCTGATGCTCTGTCTCAGGCCATGGTGTTTGGCAGAAATCAGTGATTTTTCAGAACATTGGAAGGTGTCCGCTACTGGCACTGGTGTATATTTTGTCACTTCAAAACACCTATGGGCAGTCCTTTGCTTCTGCATACAAGAGTAAGCTTAAGAATGCTCTGCTTCATTCTAGGTCAGGCTGCCTGCAGATATAGTCCCTTTCCTCTGCTGCCTTATTGCCAGTTACATTACGTAGAGCGTATGACAAGAGCTTATTAATACTGTAGTGCAGTCAACATCCGTTAGTTATAATGAAACTTATCCTTTTCTCTTTTCTCCTTCACACCAGCCACAAAGGTTTTCAAAGGTAAGTACAGATTAATTTGTTTATTTTTCTTTATATTTTTTATTTTCTTTATTATTTTGTATTATAGTGCAGTATTGTAATGATTTTCATATGAACACTTTTCAGTTTGGAACAAATCATCTGAGTTTCTATTACTTATTACGGAGAAATTGGCTTTGATAGACAAATGCTTTGGATGACAAGCATGTTTCTGGAACAAATTATGCTTTTGAACCAAGGCTTTATTTTTTTTTTTTTTTTTTTTTTAAATTTTCTTTGGTATAATTCATATATTACAAAATTAGCTTTAGTGCTCTGGTTATGAGAGCTTTTATAGTATGTTAGAGCAAATTTGGACTTCCATCACCAACAAACTTGGGGGTTGGTAGGACACAAGAGGCTTTGCTCAGACCCTAATTCTGTTTGAAAAAAAAGGAGAAATATTATAATCCCTTTCAAATCTCTCTAATAACAAAAAAAGATATCCAGATAAGACAATTAATCCCAAGTCCTTTGATATCTTTTGAGTTCAGTAAGGAACAGTTTCATGGCACTGTATGTTTGAACAGAAATAGCAAGCTTGTACAAATTTTGGGCCCTCAGTACCACAGGGGAGGCTAAGTCCTGCCTATACCAAACCATGCCCATCCGTGCTGGAGAACTGTTTTTTTTTTTTTTTTTATTGTTTGTTTGTTTGTTTTTTTACCAGAGCCCAGGGCAAGTCTAACATTAATGAATTGCCATGATTACTTCTAGATTAATTCTTGCTATTCAGATATATTTTCCCTTATCTAATTTTTATCTCTCCCCTCCCCTGGACTGGGCACTCTGGTCATTGGTTTGCTTAAACAATCACATTTAATCCATTCTCTTGATACATATCCTACACCTCCATCATTACCTTCCTTTCTCTCTCTCTCTGGAATAATCAGACTATATAGTTTCTTTGGGTAACATTATCTTCGTTTCTTTCTCCTTGCTTCCTACCATATTCTCCTCTTTCTCTCTCTGAATTACGCCTTTTAGTCTGTCTACCTGGTCAATGTTCAATTTCGCTTTCTCCCCACCCCTGTCATTTCTCTCTTTATATATGCTCTTCCATCATCACTGCCTCCACCCTGCTCTTTATTTGTAGCTGGGATTACTGGTTTTATGCTTTTAGACTGTTCTTTGTCTTTTGTTGTTGTTGTTTAGAGTATTGTTTTATTTTTCCTCCTTGCGGTTTGCATGTTTGTTTGTCTGTGCCTTTGCGTGCTTTTGTTCCTAGTGTGTTTGTCTGTTTTACTTTTCAGGGCTATCTCAAGGAACAACCCAAAGTACACATGGTGGAGAGTCCCAAATATAACCATGAGTAGGGAAATAAAATAACCAAACGGACAAAAAGAGAGACCAAGGGACACCATTAAAAGAACACTTTCTGAATGCACAGGCCGTGGACAGTCATTGTGCGTCCTTTAATATAGCAGAACTCACAGGTGCAGAACATATAAGCTTTTAAAACTTACAAGAGACAGAATGCTAGCTCAAATGAAGAAACAGAGGAACTCTCCTCTAAAGAAATTCCAGGAAGAAAGTACAGTGAAAGAATTGCTCAAAACAGATATAAGCAACATAACTATCCAAGAATTTAGAACAATAGTCATAAAATTAATCGGTGAGCTTGAAAAAGGCATGGAAGGCACCATAGAAGCTATTGCTACAAAGATTATGGAACTTAAAAATAGTTGTGATGAATTGAAAAATGCTATAAATGAGGTGCATAATAAAATGGAGGCAGCCACTGCACGGATTAAAGAGGCAGAGATGAGAATCGGTAAATTAGAAGACACAATTATAGAAAAAGGGGAAGCCGAAAAAAAGAGAGATCAATTGATCCAGGAACACAAAAACCTCGAGAACTGAGTGATGCAATCAAATGGACAACTTTCCTTGAATTCCATAAGAAGAGGAGAGAGAAAAAGGAGCTGAAAGAGTCCTTGAACAAATTATAGCTGAGCACTTCCCCAATCTGGGGAAGGAAACAGACATTGAAATCCAAGAGGCACAGACAGCACCCCTCAGACGTAACTTGAATCAATCTTCTGCATGACATATAGTGAAACTGGCAAAATATAAGGACAAAGAGAGAATTCTGAGAGCAGCTAGGGATAAAAGGGCCTTAACATACAAAGGGAGACCTATCAGAGTAGTTGCAGAACTATCTGCTGAAACCCCATAGGCCAGAAAGGAATGGTAGGAAATCGTCAATGTGATGAACAGAAAAAATATGCAGCCAAGAATCCTCTATCCAGCAAGCCTGTCATTCAGAATAGAAGGAGATATCAAGGTTTTCCCAAACAAAAATTGAAAGAATTCATCACCACTAAACCAGCCCTACAAGAAATCCTAAGGGGGACTCTATGAGAGAAATGTTGCGAGGAGCACAGGGTACCAGAGACACCACTACAAGCAGGAATCCTACAGAGAACACATAGACTCTAAATCCATATTTTTCAATAATAACACCGAATCTAAATGGACTAAAATCTCCAATCAAAAGACATAGGGTATCAGAATGGGTAAAAAAAAAAAAAAACCACCTATTTACTGTCTACAAGAGACTCATTTTAGACCTGAGGCCACTTTCAGATTGAAAGTAAGGGGATGGAAAAATATCTATCATGCTACTGGAAGTAAAAAAAAAAAAAAGCTGGAGTAGCTATACTTATATTGGACAAACTGGACTTTAAGGTAAAGGCAGTAACAAGATATGAAGAAGGGCATTCTAATAATTACAGGGTCTATCCATCAGGAAGAACTAACAGTTATAAAAGTCTACGCACTAAATTTGGAAGCATCCAAAATCATAAAACAATTAATCAGAAACAGAAACAATCTTATGGATAAGAATGTGCTAATAGCAGGGGACTTTAATACTCCACTTACAGCAATGGATAGATCCCCTAGACAGAAAATCACTAATGAAACAATGGACCGGGGCGCCTGGGTGGCTCTGTGGTTAAGCATCCGACTTGGGCTCAGGTCATGATCTCACAATTCGTGGGTTTGAGCCCTGCATCGGGCTCTGTGCTGACAGCCAGCTTGGAGCCTGGAGACTGTTTCCGATTCTATGTCTCTCTCTCTCTCTGACCCTCCCCTGCTCACTCTCTCTCTCTCAAAAATAAATAAAACATTAAAAAAAAAAAAAAAAGAAACAATGGACCTGGCCAACACATTGGAACAGATGGATTTAGGTTTGATGGATTTAGAACTCTACATCCCGAGGCTATTGAATTCACTTTCTTTTCAAGTATGCATGGCACATTCTCCAAGATAGATAACACAGTGTGTCATAAAGCAGCCGTCAATAACTCTAAAAGAATTGAGATCATACATACACACTTTCAGATCACAATGCTATGAAACTTGAAATCAATCACAGGGGAAAAGTCTGGAAAACCTCCAAAACATGGAGGTTAAAGAACACCCTACCAAAGGACAAATAGGCCAATCAGGCTATTAGAGAAGAAATTAAAAAATATATGGAAACAAATGAAAACAAAAATACAACATCCCAAACTCTATGGGATGCAGCAAAGGCAGTCCGAAGATGAAAGTACATTGCACTCCAGGCCTATTTCAAGAAACTAGAAAAAGCACAAACAGAAAATCTAACAATGCACCTAAAGTAACTAGAAGCAGAGCAGTAAGAGCACCCCAAACCCTGCAGAAGAAGAGAAATAATAAAGATCTGGGGATAAATAAACAGTATAGAATCAAAAAAAAAAAAAACAGTTGACAGATCAATGAAACCAATATTTGGTTTTTTGAAAAAATAAACAAAATTGATAAACCTCTAGCCAGACTTCTCAAAAAGAGAGAGCACCAAAATAGACAAAATCATGAATGAAAGTGGATCTATTACAACAAATCCCTCAGAAATGCAAGCATTTATCATGGAATACAATGAAAAATTATATGCCAATAAACTGGACAACCTAGGAGAAATGAACAAATTCCTAAACACTCACACACTACCAAAATTCAAAAAGGAAGAGATAGAGGAGCACCTGGGTGGCTTAGTCGGTTAAGCATCCGACTTTCACTCAGGTCATGATCTCGCGGTTTGTGGGTTCGAGCCCCGCGTCGGGCTCTGTGCTGACTGCCAGCTCAGAGCCCGGAGCCTGTTTCAGTCTGTGAAGAGAGTTCAAGCTGGGGCGCCTGGGTGGCTCAGTNTCTCTCTCTCCTAGAAATAAATAAAACATTAAAAAAAAAAAAAAAGGAAGAGATAGAAAATCTGAACAGACCCTTAGGTAGTGAAGAAATTGAATCAGTTATCAAAAACCTCTCAACAGGTAAGAGCCCTGGGCCAGAAGGCTTTCCTAAAGAATTCTACCAAACGTTTAAATCAGAGTTAATACCCATCCTTCTCAAGCTATTCCAAAAATAGAAATGGAAGGAAAACTTCCGGACTCATTCTATGAAGCCAGCATCACTTTGATTCCCAAACTAGACTGAGACACAGCAGAAAAAAGAGAACGATAGGCCAATATTCTAACTGAATGCGGATGCAAAAATCCTCAACAAGATACTTGCAAATTAAATTCAACAGCACATAAAAAGAATTATCCACCATGATTAAGTGAGATTCATTCCCGGGTTAGAGGGCTGGTTCAATATTCACAAATCAATCAATGTGATACATCACATTAACAAAAGAAAAGATAAAATCATATGATCCTGTCGATAGATCCAGAAGAAGCATTTGACAAAATACAGCATCCCTTCTTCATAAAGACCCTCAAGTGCTGGAGGCCGAGCCGGCTCTGGCAGGTCCAGGGGTCCCTGAAGGATGGACAGTGTCAGCGACAGAGTGAGAGAGCCCCGAGATTCTTTCTGATCACCAGGCAAGCATCTCTGTCCTGTCAGTTTTTGTGTCTTTATTTAAAGGTTCAGCAACAAGATGAAGTCAGAGAAAGGAATTTCTTACAATAGGAGGACTTTTGTGATATCAATTGCAGAATTATTCTGACCAAGGAAATAACAGAATGTTCTTAGTGAAAAACAGGATAACATATAGGTCAAATTGTATATAGATAAGCTAGGAATATTTTGTCTGGCTCTCAAGAGGATGAATGTTTCGAAATTGGTTTGTTTGTGGAAACTATCATGGGGGCCCTGAATGGGTCAATCTTTTGCCCCTGGGTTATGTTTTAGTTACTCTTATCTATCCTCATCCCAGCTGCCAGTGTAAGGGAGGGTGTTTGTGGAATGTAGGCCTTGAGGAAGGGACTGTTATGTTTCACCAATTAGCAAAGATATATGTAGTAACTATGTTTTGCTCTTAACCCCAAAATAGGCCCTTTGTCTCAGGACCAGGCTCAATTGTAATTCTTATGTTCTTAACCCCCTAAGTCTCGGAACTGCAAGGCTCATAGGAAGAGCCTTTTGACAATCGCCCACAGAGCTTTCATCTAAAATCTCTTTTGTAAAGGCAGGAATATGCTTTTCCTTATGAGGTATCTGTATTCAGAATATGGGTCTGATATGGAATATTGTGAGGCCTGGTCAATACCAGCAGGCTTATATCCAACATGAGCTAGTAGTAGCAGAAGGAGATACCGGTTTTCATTTCTAATGGCAGGAGCTGCAAACATTGCCATTTCCTTGCTGTGACTGCCATCCAGAGAGGCCGGTGAGGCTCCCAGCACTCAAGAAAGTCGGGATAGAAGGAACTTAAACATCATAAAGCCATCTATGAGAAGCCTTCAGCTAACATCATCCTCAGTGGGGAAAAACTGAGAGTTTTCCCCCTGAGATCCGGAACACGACAGGGATGTCCACTCTCACCACTGTTGTTTAACATAGTGCTGGAAGTCCTAGCATCAGCCATCAGACAACAAAAGGAAATCCAAGGCATCAGAATTGGCAAAGAAGAAGTCAAACTCTCACTTTTCGCAGATGACGTGGTATTCTACATAGAAAACCCGACAGAATCCACCTGAGGCCTACTAGAGCTGATCCATGAGTTCAGCAAAGTTGCAGGATACAGAATCAATCTACAGAAATCGGTTGGATTTTTATACACCAACAATGAAGCAACAGAAAGAGAAATCAAGAAACTGATCCCATTCACAATTACAGAAAAAAAAAACATAAAATATCTAGGAATAAACCTAACCAAAGATATAAGAGATCTGTATGATGAAAACTACAGAAAACTTATGAAGGAAATTGAAGAAGATGCAAAGAAATGGAAAAACATTCCATGCTCATGGATCAGAAGAATAAATTTTGTTAAATTTTCATTACTACCCAAAGCATTCTACTCATTCTATGCAATCCCAATCAAAATTGCACCAGCATTCTTCTCAAAATTAGAACAAACTATCCTAAAATTTGTATGGACCACAAAAGACCCTGAATAGCCAAAGTAATATTGAAGAACAAAACAAACAGGAGGCATCACCAACCCAGACTTTAGCCTCTACTACAAAGCTGTCATCATCCAGACAGTATGGTATTGGCACAAAAACAGACACATAGACCAAAGGAATAGAATAAAGAACTCAGAATTGGACCCACAAATGTATGGCCAATTAATCTTTGACAAATCAGGAAAGAGCATCCAATGGAAAAAAGGTAGCCTTTTTAACAGATGTTGCTGGGAGAACTGGACAGCAACATGCAAAAGAATGAAACTAGATCACTTTCTTACATCATACACAAAAATAAACTCAAAATGGATGAAGGACCCACAATGGGCATTAATGACAGTCTCCCTTGGTGTATTAAAGAAAATATTTATTGGTGTATTAAAGAAATTATTCTAATTATTTATTTTTATTTGTATATCTGTCAAATTATGTTGAAAGATGCATTTTATATCACTGTTACCTTGGCTTGCCCTGGATGCATGAGATCAGTGAAATTTATGAGGTTCTTAATGTCTTTCCAGTAAGAGTCTGTCTTTGTCTTTTCTAGGAATTCCTGGAACACTGCAACTGCTGGACAAAGATTCTTCTCTGTAACACACTGAAAACTAAAGAGAAATGAAAACTACAGGCACTTTGGTTGGCAAATAATGATTGCTTCTCATGGGAACATCATGCAAAACATCATCAACTTGACTAGTTTTGTTTTTTCCTATAGATTGTACATTGACCAAAAAAAAAAACCCCAAGTAACCGTACAGTGCTCAGTCCAGTTTCTAAGAGAATTTGAGTGGTGTTACTTTCAACACTTTATCCTCCCTTACCCCACTGTTCATGCCCAACTCTATCGACAGAAAGACTCTAGTTTCTAATATAAAATGTAGCTAAGGATACATACATGGATAAAAAATAATCAGTTCAAAATAAGCATCATAGTGAAGGATAAACATGACAATCCATGACTGAAGAGGTTAGGAGACATAAAGAATACTGTTTCTTCCTAAGCGGACAAACATAGTATCTAGAAGATACAAAAAACAAATTAGGCAATCACTAATCACTCTATGAGAGTGGTTCACATCCTGGGTATGAGTGGTTTATATCCTGGTTTATATGATGAGTTCAATGATTCTGAAGAATGCCTTGAAATTTTATGTAAGTTTATGTATTTGCACGTATCTATGTAATACAGGACTATTTGAAAGGAAGAGAAATGCAATTCAAAATTGCTTATGAAAGGGGCAGATGTATTGACTCATTAACAAAGCGCACGCAAGGACACAGGAGAAATTCCCATTGAAATTCCAATGGAAACAATTAAGGAACTTGGATGTCATTAAAATATCTGTCCATGTTTCTCCCCTTCTCTGACCACCCCCAGGTTTTTTCTTATATCAGTTTCGTTATATCCCACACATTCCAGGGAAAATTGTGAAACATTGAGATATGGCCAGATTCAAGACTGATTCACAACACTAAAAGCCTAGCAACTAGAAAGATTCCTCCACAATTTTCAGTTACAAAATGCTGGGCAAGTGCTCTTGTTGATAAAGTTTGGGTAAAAAAAACGTTCCATCTTTCAATTGCTGTATCTAAATTAGATTATTATTGTTGTCTGGGTTCAAAGCATGTACATAAGCAATTAATTGATCGTGGTAGTAGGAGCAATAATTGGCTTAGTACATTTGAAGCAAATGGCTTGAGGAGGTACTTCCCAAATAAGGGAGGGGCTGTCTTGGTTCTACAATAATCTTTGAAAATTTTGTAATTGGTCAACCAGGCACAAGCAGAGACACACAAAAATATATAGGAAAGATGGGAAATCCATTGCTAAGAATTTTGGTCACAGAATCTGTGTCTTCTTTTAACTTACAACTACATCACTAATTCCTTATTAGATTTTCAGTTTCCATTCTTACAGTGATGTAGAAATATAGAATTCTAGAATTCTAAGAATATTAAACCTGGGAGTGAGAAAACACAAATCAGAACCAAACATACAATTCCTTTCTAAAAGATAACAAATGTGTAAATGATACTACAGCTAACACATTTTTAATTGACATTTTTAGTTTTAGAAATTATTTTTTGCATTATTTTGTGTATTATTGAAATATTACTGATTCTATTCATTTTTTTGTAATTTCATAAATAAAAAGATATGTGCTCCTTAAAAACTACAAGTCGAAATACACGATTTTATTTAATAGTGAAAACGCCCACCTTTAACCTCTTCTCATGCCGCAGAATGCATCACTGTTAACAGTTTATATGCTATCTGTTCAGCTATTTTTATGTATAGTTGCACATATACTCATACTTTTAAGTCTTATTTTTACTAAAATATCACATTTATATTGGCAGAGAATATTAGTATGCTCTTTTTCAGCAAATAAAAATCAAGAATTCCTTTTCAATAATTTGAATTATAGGGACTAAAAAAAAACCTTAAAAGTATAGAATTACTGGAAGAAAAAATAAAGAAATTCAATTTGTCTAATCAGTAATATATGCTTATTTGTCTAATTGTTCTAATAATATAATATCTCCCCATGTGAAAGAGTACTATCAAATACTGAGTACATAATATATGTTGGTTCATATTCTGAGCCCTGTAAATGTCATGTCTAAATCTTCACAAACCAAAAAATCTGTGAGGTAGAAATTATAGCTACTTTACTGAGGACAAACTGAGGCAGAGTTACCCAATGACTGACCTAACCATTCTTCTAATGGGGGACTTTTAGGACACCTCAAATGTTTTCACCATTATAAATAACACTGTACTAGAAAACCGGAAGTGACTCACTTGTTCACTAAAATAAACTGCAAGTTTAAGTTTTAGAGTTATGACTCAGTGTTCCTTCAAAATTGCTTACTGCCATGGGGCAACTGGGTGGTTCAGTAGGTTAAGCTTCTGACTTCAGCTCAAGTCATGACCTCATGGTCTGTAGGTTGGACCTCCGAGAGGGATTCTGTAGTGACAGCTAAGAGCCTGGATCCTGCTTCCGATGGTGTGTCTCCCTCTCTCTCTGCTCCTCTCCCCTCCCCCGCACTTACGCCCTTTTTTTTCTCTCAATAAATAAATAAATAAGTAAATAAATAAATAAAATTTAAAAACTTGCTTGTGACATATATTATAGTGAAAATTTAAATATTTTGACGGTTTTGCCAATCCAATACAGGAAAATTTATATTTGTCACTTGAGTTCTTTCTTTGATGAAAAAAGTTAAGTATATTTTCACAGGTTTTATGATATAAATAAATTATTTACATATAGGTAGGTTTGCTGATATCATACCCTTTTCTATCAGGTTACAATATTCTCTATTGGGTTCCTTTATTAATAATAATTTATTTTTTTCATGTCTTTTGGAATAGAAATGAAAATATGCTACTCAGATCTCCCTCTGCAGGGACCAATATTGTTTCATGGTCCTCAGTGCTTCCTTTCTGGATCAGCTGCCAGTTTCCCTCACATAAGACACTTTGCAACTCCCATAGAGCTGCTCCCACCAGTGGCTGAGCAGGAAGGATATGAAGCAGGCCCATTCCAGTGATAATAGGTGGTCTTTACATGTGACTTTCGATTGAGGACTCTATTGGAATAGCAAAGATTATCTTTTAACTGTGAAACCTGGAAGTTAAGACTCTCCCTACCCAGTCTCCTTTCTTTGCTTGCTCCACATTGTTTCCTGAATCCAGATCCAAAGCCCCACCACCACTTCTGACTGGGGGTTTGCTTCTAGATGGATCTGAACTAATGCACTCTCTAACTGTTTATGTGAATCTTTTACTATACAGAGGTTCTGTAGTTGTGTTCTCTTTTTGTTTTTGTTTTTTGATGATTTTATCTTTATTACTGTGGTTTCTAAGTTTAATTTCTTAGAAAGATTTTTCAGCTCCTATATTAAAACATTGAATTTCTTTATGTTTTCTTCCAGTACTTCTATGCTTTTAAGGTTTTTTTAATCCCTGTAATTCAATTGAATTTTAAATGGTGAGGTGCGCCAGGGTGGCTCAGTCGGTTTAAGTGTCCAGCTTCGGCTCAGGTCATGATCTCACGGTTCATGGGTTCGGGCCCACGACAGGCTCTGTGCTGACAGCTAGCTCAGAGCCTGGAGCCTGTTTCCGATTCTGTATCTCCCTCTCTCTCCAACCCTCCCCTGCTCACACATACACACACTCTCTCTCTCTCTCTCAGAAATATATAAAACATTAAAAAATGAATTTTAAATGGTGAGAAGTAAAGATATAATATCAAATTTGTTTCCAGTTATATTATTATTTGCCACAATAACATTTGTGCAATCAGCTATCTGTTCCCTGTCAGCTTTAATCACAAAATTTCCATAGAAATATATGTCTATTTCTTGCTGTTTTAATAAGTTCCACTTATTTATAAATATTTTGCGATCTCTTTGAAATAAAGTTTGGTGATCTGGTATAACTTATTTTCCTCATTTTCAAACAGTTGTTTGTTTTTTGTTATGTTCTCTGTTTTTATATATGTATTTTACCAGCTGAACATGAGAATCAGCTTAAGGTAACAAATAATTTGGACATATTATTAAAATCAAATTGAGTATATCAATTTTTTTAAATATATATTTTTTATTTATTTCTAGGAGAGAGAGAGAGACAGCGTGAGCAGGGGAGGGTCAGAGAGAGAGGGAGTCACAGACTGAAACAGACTCAAATTGAGTATATCAAAATTAATTGGATTATAGAAATCATGTATTTTAAATATTAGGTCTGCCCCTTAAGGTACATGATTGACTTCCCAGTTATTCCAGTATTTTTTGTGTCCTTCTATGAAGTTTTATGGTTTCTGGCATATAGCTTTTGTTGATTTCTTGTTAAATTTATTCCCAGGTATTTTATATGTTTTGTTGTACTGTTTATATTACTTTAATTTATTTTTTTTGGTTACAAACTGTTGAACTATAATATATTTTGTATATCTTAGTAGTACTAGTTTATAAGAAACAACAATAAAAAGGACTGTATACAAATGGTGTATGAACTATAAATAAATTCATCAAATAAAGACAAATATATTTTCTGGACATGATATTTTCTATTTATAAGCAGAAATAACAAATATTAATTTTCAAAAATATGAAAAACAAAATTAAAATTATTTTAAATTAATCTTGCTGCATGACTACTTGGATTTTTTTTTTTCTAATCTTGTTTTTAACTCTAGCTATAAAAATTGGTAGTTCCAGAGGCATCTGCGTGGCTCAGTCAGTTAAGCGTTGAAATCTTTATTTCAGCTGACAGGACAGAGCCTGGTTGGGATGCTCTCCCTCTCTCTCTCTCTGCTCCTCCCCTGCTCACAGCTTCTTTCTCTCTCTCTCAAATTAAGTAAATAAACTTTTAAAAACACTGGTAGTTCCTATTTGCCTCTTATTTTCATTATCTTTAAAAAATCATAAAAACTAATTTTTTCAGGGACTAAGACTAATTTTATATCTTCCTTATCTTAGCTTGATCCCTCATTGAATTTGCATATTTCTAAAATATAGAAATAGCTGGCTCTTTTGCATGCTGTTGAAGATAGGATTATTGGAAGCAAGCAAGAGCAAAATAAAATGCAAAGTTTACAACTTTGCATCAGCTCTTATATAAGAAACCTTGATAGAACCCCGGGTTATATTTCAAGCAACTGTATTT